CTCTCAGACGATAACCATCGTCACCAACAGTAAACTCACGGTGATCAACGGCACCCGCTTTGATGGCCGGCGGCACTTAAATGTGAGCCAGGGATCTCTCACCATCTCTAACCTCACGCTCGGTGACTCTGGGCTGTTCCAGATTCAGATCTTCACAGAAACAGGAACCCAGCAGTACGACTTTAACCTGACCGTTGAAGGTGAGACACTCCAGAAGGTTGGACCAGGTCTGCCTGGTAGCGGGGCTACAGAACAGGGGTCGGATGTTCACTCTTAGGGTCCCGTAACAGAACAGGGGTCGAGTTTCTGGTTGCTTCTTTTGACTAAAGTTGTCTTGTTCATTGACGGCTGTTTATGGGTCTTGTACATTTTGTGTTTTTCTAGAAAATGGGGTTACTCCTGTGGATGCCCTGGAAGAACAAAATGTGACTCTGGATTCTGGAGTAAAGAAACTGGATGTGCACCATCATGTTATGTGGACTTTTGGTCCAGATTTTGGTGGAGTGCTGATTGCTGAGTTTAAAGATAATTTAACCACAGTGACAAAAGGCTACGAGGACATTCTGGTGCTGAATCCAAAGGACGGATCCCTCACTATTCTCAATGTGACGACAGAAAGAAGCGGCTTTTACTGTTCGGAGTTGAGGTTGGGCAAATATCCCCACATACTGCTGCAATATGGCCTCACTATCTACGGTGAGTATGGAAACTTAACTCTTTAACTCTTTTTCGCAGGAACAGCTCTTTCTCTAGTTCCGTCACTTATAGTTCTCCCGCTTCCGTGGGCCGCTACTCCTCCCGCACGGTTCGACGGATCGGGCCCAAATTCGGCACACGCGTCCAGACCCACCTAGCCATGCATGCTATTACATAACTTTCTCAAAGGTCCGGGGGTTTTCGAATAAATGACGAAAAAGCGGCCAAAACGCCGCCCCATAGGAAATGAATGGGAAATGGCCCACGATGTCTGAGAGACCTGGTTCGAACATTGAACGGGTCACGAAAGACGGGCCTCCGCCATATCGGAGCCATAAAAAAAAATCCGGTGGCATCAGCCGAAAAAAAAAAACACTGGCTGAGACCTGAAACCCTCGTGCCGCTCACGGTCCAAGAATTTCAGAATTCGCTCTTTTAGTTTTCGAACAGCAGGCAGGAGTTCGGAGGAGACTTTTGATCCATCTGTCAGTTGGCTGTGTCATGGCTGCAGTTTAGTGATGAGTGACAGGTGTGGCAGTTTAGAATGTTCAGAGTTGGGGCCAGACAGCCGTTGCCGTGGCGACCAGCAGAGCTCTGTGAGCTGTGGAGCTGATGGATACATTTGTTCTGGTACCGGGCGGGCAAAGCCCGCTTAGAGGGCTTTAGTCAGAGCCCGGTTCTGGTTCTGGTTCTGGGGATCGGACCCAACCGGGTCGGAACCGGACCGGGGCCATGTCGTACCTCGTTGCGTAGGTCTTTTTCTCAGCTTTCAGCCAACTTGACCCCCGACCCGCCCACCCCATCCGCATTCGGTCAGCGGGCCCCAGAGCTCAGCCGGGTCCCTCCATCACCTCAGGCCCTCTCATAGTCGCGAGCCCACATTACAGAGAGCCCAAATATCGATTGGCCGACCTGCCGGGCCCCTTTTGAGGGCACCAGCTCCGGGTTCCTGGACGGGCAGTAGGTGGCCCCCCTCAAAATTTCTTTAGAAATGTTCTAGTTTATTATTTTACTTTATGAACAATTCACTTATTGATAACAGCACTCAGAGCCCTGGCTGTTTCCAGTGAGCTGGGCCTGAACTGGACTTAAGCATACTCAGGTCCTCCTGATACAAGAATAAGCTCCAGTTGTCCTTTACAGAACCAGTTTCCTGTCCACACGTCTCTGAAACCGGGCTGGTGGAGGAGGGCAGACGCTGTTCTGCCAGCTGTTGGGTGGAGAACTCGCTCGGTTCGATCCTGAGCTGGTACCGAGACGGGAACCTGGTGAACTGGACCAGCAGCCAAAACCTCTCCATCAACCTCATTCTCCCTCTGGAGGTCCAGAGGCCAAACGCCTCCACCTTCCTCTGTGAGGCCAGAAACCCCGTCAGCAATCAGACAGCTGCACTCAACTCCAGCCAGTGGTGTCCAGAACCAGAACCGGGACCAGGACCAGGACCAAAACCAGGACCAGGACCAGGTACGCAGGGCCCAGTCTGATGACTCCCATCGGAGTCTTTGGGGCAGCAGGAGGTGGACGGGTCCAGGCCCAGCCTCCTCTGTGTGGAAGTGTCAGCATCAGAAAAGGGATTTCCACATTATTTGGGTCCATAAGTGAAGAAACTCTAGCAGAAACAGCAAAAATCTGATGGTTTTTATTCCTTTTAGGTCAGACGCCCGGTTGGATTACTTTTTGGGTGATCATTGCTGTGGCTGTTCTGGGTTTTGTTGGGACCATTGTTGGTTTGATTGTGTGGGAAAAAAGTCAGCGTAACGAAACCGGAGGAACAGGTATGTGAACATCCTCAGATCTTCTCTACCTTCAGCCCTCATTTTAAATCTTTTAATGCTCTCATAACAGACGCTGGAGTTGCTTCAGCTTCTCTTTTCTCCGTTCTCTCCACTGCAGATTGTTTTGATATGACGTCACCGCAGGCGGAACCTCACAGAAGCTCGCAGGTATCACACAGACCCAGTAAAGGACTCGTTCAGGGTCGGTAGGAACTCTAGTTTCTCTTCAGATTTACCAGAAGATGCTGAAAAACTAAAATTTTATTCAGGCGTCACAAGAAATCCTTTGATAGCGGAAGGATTTGGATCGGCCGAGCGGCTCTAAAAATAGTTTAAAAACTGTTAGAAGTTAACAGGAAATGGTTTTAGATGTCAAAGTGTCCCGGAGAAAAATGCAGCTTTAACTAGAGGCTGAGCAAAACAGCACGAAGAGGTCAAAGGTCAAGTTAGTAACTGATGATTTAAAGTGTTTGAACTGAAACTTTTTTCTCCATTTTATCAGTTAATCTGATAAAAATGGAGAAAGAATTCCTCATTCTGCTGTTTCTCTTTCAGGGCAGCGCTGAATCTCTGCTCCAGGCCCAGAACCAGAACCAGAACCAGAACCAGACCCAGAACCAGGACCAGAACCAGGACCAGAACCAGACCCAGAACCAGAACCAGCCTCAGAACTAGAACCAGAACCCGAACCGAGGACAAACTTATCAGACGCTGGGTTAAAGAGAGTTTTACAGTATTTTCCTTCACCTAAAAGTCTTAAAATCACCTTAAAGTTTCTGTCTGTTTTTCTTTGAGAGGAAAAAGAACCATCAGAACCAGAACCAGGAAAAAAAAGTATGTGGTTCTCAGCTTTTTTTGAACAAATTATTCATAAACAAAAGATCACTCAGCTAAACAGAGGAATATAAACTATGAAAGTTAAGATAGAATAAAAAAAAAACCTACGGAAATTAGAGGAACTACAAAGCTATGAAACGGTGGAACAGAAAATCCCTCCATTAAGGAATTAAAAACGTCTGTGAAACTTATCAAAACAAAACTCTGACTTGGAGAAAACTGAATGAGGACTGTGAGACACTAAAAAATATCTGAAATCCAAAATCAGACACTAAAAAACAGACATGAGGGGAGAAAGGAGCAGGTGGAAGCCACCAGGAATCAGGGAGGA